AGCAGAAGCGTTAAAAGGCATCAAAATTGATGAGTTAAAAAATTACTTTGAGAAGTGGAAAAAAGTTTCAATAGGTGTATTAAATCAAATGGAGAGTATTTTGAAGGTAAGTGAAGTTTAAAGATATAAGACTAAATACACAATTTTTTATATAAATAAATTCCTTTTTGGGGCGGTCCCCCCATATTCATATCATGATATCCACATACAGAGTGGCTTACTGGAAAAGTAAACAAACTATTTCAGTGTAAAAAGAAGTCTTTCAAGGTGATATGAAATCCAGTTAAGTCAAATAGAGAAGATTGAAACAACCAGTAAGTGATGAGTTGTTACTTGGAAATCAATTGGCCCCAAATAAAGCTGAAGAACAATTAAATTCCTTAACTAATCTACATGTGCCAAGCATCCTGTTAGATACTGGCATGTACAACAAAGAAGAAGGTATACCTTCACGTTACTCACAAGTGACAAGAACTAATAAAGTTTTATTTGTGTACTTTGAATTGGGGAAAACCTTTTGACTTTATTAGACTGAGGCATGAGTTATCAGTGGGAAGAGCAGGGATTGCTTTTCAGTAGCACCTTCCTACTCATCCCTCCACTCTCCCCCTTGCTATTCCTCTAAGCAACAAAGCCAAGTAATATCAAAGCAAAAAAAGTATAAAGTAGTCATACTGATATATCTTCATATGGAATGGAACTGTAGACTTTTCAAGGATTTTACCCCTGCAGGGGACAATTTTGAAAATCTTTAAAATAGAAAGTAATAGGGTCCTGGCTAATGTGGCTCAGTGGATTGAGTACTGGCCTGCAAACCAAAGGGTCATCCTTTTGATTCCCAGTCAGAGCACATGCCTGGGTTTTGGGCCAGGTCCCCAGTAGGGGACAAGCGAGAGGCAAACACACATTGATGTTTCTCTCCCTCTCTTTTTCCCTCCTATCCTCTCTATCTAAAAATAAATAAGTAAAATCTTACAAAAAAAAAAAAAAGGAAAGTAATAGGAATGAAGAGACTAAAATGGTTTTTTGGTCTATATCAGATATAGGTCTTTTGCTTTCCTCAGATTTTTATTTCAGTATTATTTTTCCTGCTTCTCTACCTCTATGTCATTTCATTTCTATAGAAATATTTCTATTAAAATATAACACTCTTATGATTATTTGTTTTTTGTTTTTATATTCTACACAAATTCTTCTTATATTCTTTTTAAAAAATTTTTTTAAAAGACAAAGAATTTCTCAAAGGGCATTAACTTCTAGGTATATCTTTTTCAGTTTTAATTATATTTATCAGTTTCAAAGCAGGGGTTAAAATACAATACTTCTTACAAAATTTGTGTATTTCCTCCATTTTCAATGTATGAATTAAATACACAATATAGGCCCTGGCCAGGTAGCTCGTCTGGTTAGAGCATTTTCCAATAGATGAAGGATGTGAACCAATGAATGCATAAATAGGTGGAACGGCAAATCAATCATTCTCTCTCTCTCTCTCTCTCTCTCTCTCTCTCTCGGTAAAATCAAGCAATTAAAAAAATGCATAATTGACCAGAGAATCAAGATGACAGAGGAGTGAGTGGAAGTCACACTGACCTCCTCCCAGGACTAATCTGGAATTACAGCTAAATTGTGGAGAAAGCACTCGGAACAAACAACTGAACAATACCAAGAGAGGAACCTTGGAACCGTGGACAGACAGAGGAATCAGTGTTAGCACAACCTAACTAGAAAGGAATGTGGCAGAGACTCATGAAGGCAGGTGGGGCACCCATCGGTGGCAGCACCAGAAGGATATTAAAATGGCGAGTTGGATCCCCATGAGATGAGTGGGCTCTAAACCATAAGCAGGGATCTCCAGCCTATAGCACCAGAGCCCAAAAAGTGCACAGATAACCGCCAGCTGCAAAAAGTGTTAGGGTTGCTCTCTGCCAGAGACAGGTGGCTGGAGATTCAAAGAGCCTTTCAAAGGGCCAATGCATACATTTTTATTTGCAGCCACTTACCCTGGGCTCTAGCAAAGGCAGAAGCAGAGTGGGCTGGGGATGCCTGAGGAGAGACTGGGGAAGGAGGCTTTGGGGAAGAGAATGGAGAGAGTAGCTGGCGGGAACCCCGTACTGACTCCTCCCCCATGTAGCAGCAGCCATCTGGCTGAGGCAGACCATGCCCCTGAACAGCCACAGCAACAGGACCCAATAACCCCTCCCCCAGGAGGGACTCTGCCCTGCCCTGTGGTGTCTCTCAGCTGGCCTGCTGAGTGCAGAGTGACTAGATTAACAGCTGGAGGAGACAACAACAGACAGTAGATTCCTGCAAGTCTTGAACAGACTGCCTAAGGTCACACAGGGTCAACAGCTGACATCATCAGAGGCAGATCCAGAAAGAACAGCAGTCTCTTACCATAGAAGTTCATACCACAAAGTCAGGAAATCAAGACAGATCAATTTAAGAAGGAGAATCAAAAAAGATGAGTCTCACAAACAATGGGAAGACAAAGAAACACCCCTCAGTCAAAGGGAAAGGAGGAATTCCCAGAAAGAGAACTAAATGAAATAGAGGCAAGTAAACGATCAGATATTGAGTTCCAAACAATGGTTCTAAGGAAGGTCAATGAGCTCAGTGAACTCAGAGAGAATTACAAAAAACTACAGGGAAACTACGAGAAACTTACTGCAAACTATATCAGCATGAAAAAGGGACATAGAAACTATCAATAAGGGGCAAGAGGAAATGAAGAATACAATTTCTGAGTAGAAGAACACAGTAGAAGGAATCAAAAGCAGACCAATGAAGCAGAGGAACAAATCAGCGAGCTGAAGGATAAGGCAGATAAAAACTCCCAGAAAGAGCAAAAAAATGAAAAAAGACTCAAAAAGAATGAAGAGGCGTTTAGGGAAATGCAGGACCTGAAATGTATTACTACCTGAATAATAGGGATATGAAAAGAAAAAGAGGAGGTAGGGATAGAGAAGCTGTTTGAAAACGTGGTTATGGAAAACTTCCCTAATTTAAGGAGAGAAAAAGTCACACCAGTTCAGGAAGCACAGAGGGTCCCATTATAGAGGAACCCAATGAGGCCCACTCCAAGACACATCATCATTAAAATGGCAAATATCAAAGACAAACAGAGAACCCTAAAGTAAGCAAAGGAGAAAGAGGTAGTAACATACAAGGGAGCCCCGGTACAGCTAGCAGCTGACTTCTCAACAAAAACACTGCAAGCCAGAAGGGAGTGGCAAGAAATATTGAAAGGAATGAAAACCAAAGGCCTGCGACCAAGACTGTTCTACCGAGCAAGGCTCTCAATTAAAATGGAAGGAGAAATAAGGAGTTTCCCTGTCAAAAGAAGGCTAAAAGATTATACCTCCACCAAATCAACATTGTAAGATATGCTAAAGGGACTGCTTTAAGAAGATGAAGAAAAAGAATCAATGAATACCCTGTTCCTTTCACAGTCACCAATACTTGATATTACCAGTATTTTTAATACTTATTAATCTGATTGTGACAATAATGTTATTTTAATTGTTACTTGATTATTGGTTGAAACTAAACCTGTTTTTGTATATTTCTTGCCTATTTCTATTATTTTTTAAAAGCTTTAAATGACTTTTTGGTATTGTTTATCCATTTTTTGATTAAATGTTTGTAGAATTTTTTCCCTAAAAAAAACATTTACCCTTTTTAGAAGTGTTACAAATACTTTCCTATTCTATTACTTATCCTTTAACTTTTTTTATATGTATATTACATTATAGTCTTAAATGTTTAATATAGTCATATTGTCAATATTTTACTTTATAACTTCTGGGTTTGAATATTTTACTTCAGGGTAAGAAAAATATTATTTTGTATTCCCCCTAAAACTCTTTAGATTTTATATATTGATTTTTAGCTCACCTGAATATTTTTTGTGTAATGTGTGAAATAGGGCTCTGTAATTGTTTTATTTCAAGTAATAATAGTGGTTCATGCACCTTATTTGTTGAATAAGCCTTATTTTACTCATTGATTTGAAATATCAGTTGAATCCTATATTACATTGTTAGATATATATGTTTGTTTCTAGAATGCTCATTTTATTTCATTGATCTAGTTGATAATTTCTGTGCTGGTGTCATGTTGTAATTGCTGAGACTTTATAATGGATTTTAATATTTATAATAGATCTTGACATTTAAAAAATAAATACAATCAATCTGCATTTTAAAAAAAGAAAGAAAGAAGGAACTCCTACCTTTTGCAACAACCTGGATGGAACTTAGGAATCTTATGCTAAGTGAAATAAGGCAGTTAGTGAAAGACAAATACCATATGATCTCACCTATAAGTGGAATCTATTCAACCAAATAAACTAACGAACAAAATAAACCACAGGCAAGGAAACATGGAGCAGGCTGAAAGTGACCAGAGAGGATGGGGAAGGAGGACAGTGGTGGAAAGGAGAAGGGACTAAACAAAGAACATGTATGATTGACCCATGGACATGGACAACAGAGTGGGAATGGACTGTGGGAGGGGAGGTTGGGGTGGGATGGGTGGAGGAGGGCAAAGGGGAAAATTGAGACAACTGTAATAGAATAAACATGATTTATAAATAAAAAATTTTAAAAATGCATAATTTAGAAAGATTACAAATAGCATTATGTATTCTAAATTTTGAATTGAGAGTGAGAAAACACTTTCTTCCCTGCCCCATCCTTCACTGCTACAACTTTAAAGTATTTTACCTTAGGCTCCCTATTTTTCCTCTTCTCTGTCATTATCTTATTTTTACATTAAACTTTTCAATTAAAATCCAACCTGTTAAACTTTTAAAATCCTAAATATAAATTTGTTAGCCTGGTTTCCTGAAATAAAAAGTAGTATCATTATTATGTTATTATTTTCTCTAATAAAAGTAGGAAAAAAACCTGTTAAATTCCCAATCCAGAATAATTACTTTAATTGGAAATCACAGTCTGAAATGAATCTTTTTAAATGTGAAATAAAGTTAAACTTACTGGTACATCATACACTGTTGAGAATGCATACTCTTCCACCTCCGTGCTGCTTTGTGATTTCTCATCAAATGAGTAGCATCTTGGCATTCTTTTCAGACTTGTAAGCTGACTAAAGAAGGACTGCTTAAGGATTTAAAATAAACTAGTTTGACAAGTTGGGATGGGTAAACTTTAACCAATACTATGGTTTGAGGTGAAGAATCACTTGATAAGCCTTTATTGCAGGAAAAAGTTCCTGGTTCTGGCTAATTAAGTGAGAAACAATACCTTGTTCAAACCTAAGCAACACCCTTGAATACTTTGCATGATTTGTATTTGACTTCTAAGAGGTGGCACTCTCCTCTCTGAGTCAGGGCATGTCTGGTCTTCAGGCTCTGCCATTCATCTCTTTCAAAGGAAAGATCAGAAGTTTTCATAAAGTGTTTGATACCATCAACTTGTCTTTCTTATTGCAATGCTGCATATATTCATTATGTCTACCACAGGGATTCATTTGCATTTACTCTAAAGTGGAATCTGGCTTTAAGGAGGGAAAATGAGATTGTATTTGTGCCAACTGTTATTTTAAAAGGCTTCACCCGCTGATTGTCTCCTCTTTGTATGCTCTCGTTTGTTGTCATATCTGTTCTACCTTCTTTGACTTCGAGTTTTCTGTTGATCCAATATTTTCTTTCCCATTGTGTCTTTGCCCATATGCCTAAAATATCATTTTCTTTATTTATAGCACAGTTCTTGATTCCAAGTCCACCTCACTGTAAGATTCAAGTCATTTATTCAGACTGTCTACACAGGGTACATAGACTCTGAAGTTAACTACTCCAGGATGTTTTCCTTTAATTTTCCAACTCTCACACTATCTGAACAACGCTGAACCCATGCTTTCCCTTCAAGCATGCGTGAATCTAGTTTTAGTTTTATGACTTTCAAGTGTATAGACCCATTATCCTGTCACATAGTGAAATATCTGAGGCCAGAAGCTATGATGTCCTTTTTTTATCGTTCAGTTACAGTTGTCCCCAGTTTTCCCCCATTATCCTCCCCTGCCCTACCCACCCCACACCTCTCACTTTCAGTCCTTCCCCTCATTGTCTTTGCCCATGGGTGCTTTATAGGTGTTCCTTGACTTGACCCTTCCCCTTCCTCCCACCTCCCCCGCTACCTCCCTCCCCCACACCCTCTGGTTATTGTCAGTTTGTTCTTTATTTCCATGTCTCTGGTTCTATTTTGCTCACTTGTTTGTTTTGTTGATTAGGTTTCACTTATAGGTGATATCACATGGTATTTGTCTTTCACTGCATGGCTCATTTCAGTTACCTCCTACCCTTAGTGATGGCATGGATTGAACTAGAGAGTATTATGCTAAGTCATGTCTTTTTCAATGCATGCACCAGCACCTCTGCAAACACTTTGACATTCAGTACTTCACTGAGTCTTTCTTTCAGTTGATTTGACAATCAACATTTATATTCAGATTCAGTCCCTCTTTTGTTTTGAAAGGAAATGCTTTTTGGCAGAACAGGAATGTATAATTGCAACTAATAAATGCACATATAAAAATGTTAAAATTGGCTAATAAACAAAAATTCTATTCTTTTGTCAATTTTCTATTCATGTATAACATTACAACAAACTTAGCCACTAAAAATAACAGCCATTTACTATCTATTTTTATTTTGTAGATCAGAAATCTGTGTGAGCTCAACTTTGTTTTCTGTTTAGCATCTTAAGGCTGAAAGCAAAGTGCAGATTTATCTGGATTCCTTTCCGGAGGCTGTGGTGAAGAATCACTTCCCGGCCTCTCATTCAGGCTGTTGGCAGAATTAAGTTGTTTGCAGAAATACTAAGGTTCCTATTTCTTTGTTGCTGTCAGTCTGACCTTGACTTCTAAAGGCTACACATTCCTTGAAAAATGGTTCCTTCTGTCTTCAAGCCAACAACAGTGCATCTTCTCACTCTTAGAATATCTAACTTTTCTGCTACCATGAAAGGAAAATTCTGTACTTCTAAACAACTCTACATCTAAAGAATTAGATTTGACTCACCTGGAAAATCTACTTTTGATTAACTCAAAGTCAACTGATGAGTAACCTTAATCACATTCTCTAAGGATTGTTACACTAGTGAATTTAAAAAATTACCCCCAAATTCTCTAATTTCCACCTAAATCTAAACTGAAGATACAAGTTGAAGTTTGGCAAAATGTACCTGTTTGAAAACAGGTGAAGGGTAGTTATTGAAACCATGATGAAGGCAATCCTATGCATTCATAAAATTTCTCTTCCTGGAAATATTTCAAAGGTAGGCATCCAAACATTTATTAGGGAAAATACCTCGGTTTAGAAGTGGACAGAAGGAAGACCTAACAGGATAATCCCCTTATCTACAAAACGACATTTTTAAGTAAAATCTGACTAGGGAGCAAAATCTATAAAAATAAAACTTCACAGGAAATCCATAATATCTGGTTAGCAAACTCAATATTACATAGCCCTGTGACTTAAATTAAAAAACCTTTAATAATTCAGACTATATATTTTTTAATTTTTTTTATTGTTCAAATATATTTGTCTCCGTTTCCCTGCCATCATTTCCCCCTGCCCCACCCTCAATCCTTCCCCACTTTGGCTTTGTCCATGGGTCCTTTATGCATGTTCCTTGACTTGGCCCTTCCTCTTCTTTTCCCCATTACCCTCCTCCCAACTCCCCTCTGTTACTGTTGGTTTTTCTTTCAATGTTGCTGGTTATATTTTTCTCGCTTGTTTGTTTTGTTGATTAGGTTCCACTTATAGGTGAAATCATATGGTATTTGCCTTACACTCCTTGACTTATTTCACTTAGCGTAATGTTCTCCAGTTCTGTCCATGCTGTTGCCAAGGGTGGTAGCTCTTACTTTCTTTCTGCTGTGTGGTATTCCATTGTGTAAATGTACCATAGTTTTTTGATCCACTCATTTATTGATGGTCACTTAGGTTGCTTCCAGCACTTGGCTATTGTAAATTGTGCTGCTATGAACATTGGGGTGCATAGCTTCTTTTGAAGTGGTGTTCCAAGATTCTTAGGGTATAATCCCAGCAGTGGAATCACTAGGTCAAAAGGTAGTTCCATTTTTAGCTTTTTGAGGAAATTCCAAACTTTTTTCCACAGTGGCTGCACCAGTCTGCATTCCCACCAACATTACTAGGGTTCCCTTTTCTCCACAACCTCGCCAGCACTGTTGTTTGTTGATTTGTTAATGATGGCCATTCTGGCCAGTGTGAAGTGGTATCTCATTGTGGTTTTAATTTGCATTTCTCTTATGGCTAGTGATGCTGAGCATCCTATCTATGTCTCTGGGCCCTGTGTATGTCTTCCTTGGAGAAGTGTCTGTTCAGGTCCTTTGCTCATTTTTTTAATTGGATTGTCTTCCTGAAGTGGAGTCATGTAAGTTCTTTATATATTTGGAGATCAAACCCTTGTCTGAGGTATCATCGGCAAATATATTTCCCCATACAGTTGGTTCCCTTTTCATTTTGCTGATGTTTTCTTTAGCCATGCAGAAGCTTCCTATTTTGATGAAGTCCCATTTATTTATTCTTTCCTTTATGCCCCTTGCTCTAGGGGACATATCGGTGAAAATATTGCTGCATGAAATATCTGAGTTTTCTGCCTATGTTCTCCTATATGACTTTTATGGTGTTGCAACTTATATTTAAGTCTTTTATCCATCTTGAGTTTATTTTTCTGTATGGTGTAAGTATAGATTAAAATATTCCTAGGCTAAATCTTTAAAATATACTCTAAATGCTGACTCATATTTTCCACTGTCAGCTACAGTATAACCCTAAAAGTGTTTCTAGTAGATTGATTAAGAGTTCTCCCAGGTACTATAGTAAAATATACTTTAAGTAAAATGAATTTGAATTATATTCATTCTTAAAGCCATCAAATGAACAACTAATTTGATTTGCCTGGTATTTTTCTTTTTTGCAATAAATTAATATTAACCACATGAGGTCTACTAAATGTTATTTTTTCAAGAAAATGCTAAATATAATTTCAACAAAACAGTGGTATTTGCAAAGTGCACAAAGCAGCATTATTGATAAATGAAAATGCCAACACTATGAGACTTAATGACAATCTTTGTACTTGTACAGCATCAGGTGAGCTGATATTGGTTCACAATAACATACTTTGCACTGTTTAAACAGGTTTGAAATATTTTATTACTTTTTGACTTTATTATTCAACAGGAAAGCCTCACAACATCATAAGGTAGATAGATTAATTAATTTGGCAGAGTCAGGGCAGTTTAGGGCAAAGGACTATTTCTCTTTTAAATTGTGTGACATGATTGCATTTCTCTCACTTCTTAGTCACAGTTAAAATTTTCAGGCAAGAAAAATATTGAAACACATAAAGGAAGTTTCATTGTAAACTTTTACAAAAGCAGCTTAATAAAAAATTATAGATTGCTGCATTTCAGTGGGCTTCTTATAGTTTTGTTTATTGGTTTATAAAACAGACTATATAATGAGGCATTATAATAGCAAAAAATAAAAAATCAAACTGTTGTTTTAATAGGTTTCAAAATCTTTTGCTACTCCTAATCTTGAAATATGTTGCAGATTTTTAATTTATACCATATCAAGGTTTTAAATTACTTCACAATTATAAAGCTTATTGTTGAGGGTAAGAAAAGGAATAAGTAAGGTATGGATTTGGGGAGTAAACTTTCCATGAAGCAACCTGACCTGTGAATTTAACTGGCTCTATAGCTTTGCCTACATTAAAATCATACTTCATTTCCTTGGGGATAATTGAATACAGTGTTGTGGTGTTGTTTGACTTACTTGTAAAACTGTTTTGTCTATTGATATGCTTTGCTGGACACTATGTAAATTTAGCTTACCTCATATTTTTGTAAGGGAAAAACATGGTTTAGTAACAAACACTTAATCCCAGGGACTTTTAGGACTGCAGTGTTCCTGCCTGGTGAACCTGGATAACTCGGAGTAGAGTGATGGAGAGAGCTGGGCTGGATGCAAGGGTCTCCTGGGTTTTGTTTCTACACTGACTGTAGCCTACGCTATAATTTAGAAGAATTCTCTTGGCTTTGATTTCACATCAGCCAAAAAGGGGAGATTGTTGTAGATAATCTCTTAAATTCTTTCAGGTTCTAACAGCTATGATTCTAGCATTAGTTTCAATAATTTCTAACAAGTTTATTTTCCATTTCCACCATTGCATGAAGGAATGTCTCCCACAGATTCCCTCTGTGTCAAATACATATACTAACAAAGCAACAACTTTATTCAGTTGAAAGGGTTAGATTCTTGTTATATTTTTGTTCTTACTGTTATTGAATCATGAAGATTTCACTGAGAGAACATGATTAAGCATTTGCAAAAATTTTGGTTCAGTCTTATTCTCGCATTAAAAACTAACCCTTTTTTAGTCCTTTCTCATGGCACCCAAATTCCAAGATTCTACAGGGATTATGTGCTATGGTGTTTACTGTCAGCTAAATGGGTTTAGCTTGTCTTTTAAAGCAATGAGTCAGACAAATTAAATGTTTTTTTCCTATAAAAAAATGTGAATGTTATTCAAGCACTCACAGCATAAGAAGCAAAGGCCAGTATTTTTTTTTTGTTTTTAACCACAATATATTTGCAAAATTCACAAAGCAAGAGTACTGACAAATAAAAGGCTAACACTGTAAAAAAAAACAACCCTTGTTTACAATCTTAATGCATATGCAGCATCATCTGTACTGATATAAGTTTACAATAGTATACTTTGTACTTTTTGGAGCAAGTTTTAAACATTTTTTCACTTTTCAACTTTATTATTCAACAAGAAATCCTCAAAACAATGCCATGAGGTAGATAGCTTAATGTTCCATTTAGTAGATGGAGAACTTGAGAAAAAGCTATTATTGCATGATTCCTATAACACTATTCAATAGTTCAGACATAATTGAACTAGAAATAGTACATATAAATTCTGCTTTAAAATCCACTTTTCCATTTCTTAAATTTATTTATGGCCTTTTAGGTTTATTCCTCTCATTTTTTATTAAAATGTAATTAAATTGAATTAATTATAGAATTATTTAAATCAATGTATATAGTTTCACAGACACATATGCAAAAAGTTATCACAGTCTTCTGAAATATAAATATATTTACACAATAGCACATATCCATTGTAACAGAATTTACAGAGTAGAAAATATTTTTTTGTAGACAGATTTGTTTTTCATTTCCTACCAGATGCTGTATTTAGCTTTCATATAAAAAGGGTCTATCTTCAATCAAGCACATCTTGAATATGCTAAACATTCTCCAGGGAGCTTTCGATATTTCTCTGCATATAGAAAAACTGTAAAAACTTAAGTTTTCACTTTACTTTTTCTGTTGATACTTAGCTATTCAGTCTCCATCAACTCACAAATTTGGTATCATTTTCTTTTTAAAAGAGAGCATGGATGGATGGTCCTTTTCTGTTTATGATATCTTAATATTGAGATATAAATAACTAGGTGACATTTTAAGTTATATTTATCTTGTTTACATATATTACATAATAACACATACACATAAATTAACAAAACTTTCAGTCATTAAAGAAACAGAGAGGCTACATTTTTCCCTGATACATCAGGGCAGCAATTCTCGTACTTGCGGTCTCGCCTTGGAGGCCTGGAAATGAATACAGCCGCGTCGCCGCAGTTACAGCCCTGAGGCTAAATGGTCATGTGGCTCACATTTTGAACTATGTCTATAGGCACACATAGTTCAAAATATGTTAATGAGACATAAAAAGTGATTTTGAAAATCAAGTGTCACCTAATTTTTTTACAATGTAATTTAAAATATTTTGAAATTGATCACACGATGTTTGATAAGCAAGGAGCAGTTTTTAAAAAGCGCACTTTTTATGGAATCCAAAGCACACTAATAATAATTAATGGTAGTTCATATTATTGGCCTTCTGTGTGCAGACACTGTTCCAAGCGTTTTCTTTACTCATATTAGTGCATGTAATCCACATAACAATCATATGACTAGGCACCATTTTTCTTGCCTCCATAAAGATGAAAGAGCTAATGCACAGTGACGTTAAGAAACCTGTACAAGGATAAAGAGCTCAGATGAGGCATAGCCAATGTTCAAGCTCAGGCAGCCTGACTGCAAAAATTTCCTCCACTGGATTTTGGGCGGTGTTAAGCCCCAAAGCCATTCACTCATTTGACAAATTACATTAACATCTTAAAACTCACAGAAGCATTTCTTTCCATTATAGGAAACATTTTATAGTACATGGTGTATACCAGGCACTGTCTGTCCTAAGCGCTTTATATAAATCAGCTCCCCCAACCTGACTTGCTGAGAGATGTATGACCCATAAGATAGCTGAAGACTTCCAAGAGTATGAGTAATCATATATTAATGTAGATATTACTAAACAAATAATTGTATAGATCATTTCCTCAAAAATCTAGAGTGTTTGTATGTCCTGTTACTAATTATTTGAAACCAACTCTGCTAGCCTAAGTTTCATAGGTTCCTTTCATCCTCCTTATACCCATGAAAAAATGTTCCCAAGAGTCTTTTTTATTCTCCATTCAGGCTTGACACTAACTGCTGATGCTGTTAAAATATAAATCAGAAATGCTTACTAATAATACAACATACATCCTGAAACTAGTTCTTTTGTATTTAAAACAATGCAAGTTTGGATACATTTAAACCTCTTTTAAATGGTAACACTTGTGGTTAATGATAATGCTCTCTATTATTGTTTAAAAAGTCAGGTTACAGTTCAAGTTATATTGCAAATCCCATGTTTCTCCATTCTAGCCATTGAGTGTCCAATCATCAGCGGTGGAATATTGAAGCCCTTGATCCTCAGGGAAGACTGTTTGATTTTTTTTTTTTTTTTTTGCTAGAAGAATCCCAAGTGCTCCTGCTATTATAGGAAGTAAGAATTTGGCAGCTCTGGCAGCTCTTCATATCCTGTGGAAAATGATGGTCCTCATCTTCTATTGAAGAAAACCATTTATAAATATTCATCATATTAATAAGTAACATAGTTTGCTTTGTGAATGAGGAGTCAGTGCTACCTGTCATTTGCTGTGTCTTCCTCCCTCAGGGTAGAAAGTTCGGTCACAAAGGCCACATCATAATATTGGGTTGGTCTGGGTCTGAAGGACTCAGCAAAAAGCACTGATCCAAACCACATAACTATAAACAATATACAATCTGCAGGAGTTTTTAACTCTGTGTGCCGTGGATGTAATTCATGGACAGTTCACACTAGATACCAGTCTTTGAGGCAATCCAGTTTCGATACTGAGTCACTTTTGTGTAGACTCCAGGTTTTTTGGGAAGAGCACATGATTGTCCCCAACTTACTATACCAATAATATACCAGATGTCATGACTCTCATAAACCAGAGGTCCACCAGAATCACCCTGGAGAAAAAAATGCAAACATATTTAAACTTGTTAACTCTGATTTAATTCAGTAGGAAGGTCATTACAATCATCTCTCTTCCACAGAAAAAGAGTAAAAGGAAATTGATAACAAAGGACATACAGCCACACTAGAGATAAATTATATGATTATATAATGTTTCTCTTAATTGAGTTAAAATTTTGTGCTAAAGTTTGAAGTGCATTTTTTTCTAGAAAGACTAACATTCATATGGAGTGGTTACATTATCTTTAGTTCAGCATCTTTGGATTTATGCATGATTTAGTAAGCATGTATATGAAATATTTAATATGAAGTTAATGCATAGATAAAGGATAAGGAAAGTTAGAATGGCTTTTACTCTTCTGGCTTGTTTAACAAAATGAAAGGGGGTGTCATTCACAGAGGTACAAAATACAGGAAAGAGATCAGGTGGAGAGGGGAATAAGAGGAGAATCGGGTGCATCATTTTGAATGCCTCTGAAATATCCAAATGGAGTAGAATATACCTGTAAGTCTGGAGGGAAAAGAAGAGGTTGAGGGAATATATAAATCTGGAGATCAAAGGGGAGGTTGGGTCCCTAAAAGTATAAATTTATGAATCATCTGCAAGAAGATGATAATTGAAACTATGGAAGAGAAATAGATACTCTAGGGAGAAAGTATAGAGTTAAGAGGAACAGGCATAAGATAGACCAACATTTAAAATCTGAGATTAATGGAATGTGAGAAAGTAGAGAGGCAATGGTCTATAGGTCTCTATAAAGTTGAAGAAAGGCAATATTTTGTTCAGCTAACAAATATTGTGCTAGACACTGTTGTAGGTGTTGGTGGTTCAACAGTAAACAAAATAAGCCCCCCAAATCTGTGCCTTCATGGAGTTTATGACAATAAACCAGCTAAATATAATATATTGTATATTGGATGGTGATAAGAACTAAAGATAAAAATAAAACCAAGAGGGGGCACAGAGAATATATGTGTAAGTTGTGTGTGTTTGGGGGTAAGGGTTGGTAGTTGGGGTGTAAAAAAAGAGTGTGACTAAGGGGGCGGGAGTAATTGAAAAGCCGGCAGGAAGGATTGGGGAGAGGTGTTAAATAGGAAAGTTTGGGGAATCAGTGTTTAGGTATTTGGGATAGTTTTGGTGACAAGGTTCAAGATGTGGCCCTAAGAACAGGGGGCTGAAAAGGGGTGAAGATCACTGGAAATCAGGAGATCTAGAAAGTAAGAATTCAACATTTAAATGCATCAGCGTTAACACTGCCTGGCTTGGGATGAAGAGGAAACCTGTTTCAGGTTTCAAAGCCATTAGAAAACCAGGCAAAGGAGGGCGACTCAGCAGTGGTAGACGAAACCAGACACATGAGACGATGACAGATCTGAATAAAGCTGCCTTCAGAGGAGAGGTTTCTGTGTCTTTTTGTTTTCAATTTTAAGAAAAATAACAACAGACCAAAAGAGTAATTGTGTGAACCAGAAATAGAAGTAACAGACTTCAATTTCCTAATTTGTAATATAATTAAAGTACTGGTTTGATCTCACATTAAATAAAATAACATATGAAAAGTGCTCAGTATTTTGCTTGGTACACAGCAAACATTCAATGTAATAACTTTTGTTATTGCGATCATTAAGTAAACTGGGTCCTTGGTGACATAGATGCCATTTTTTTCCTCCCAAGGGAAATATATGACAAACTTAGAAATAGCTAATGGAAACTTTCCTTTTAGTGTTTGACCTTGACTTTGGACTTACCTTACATGCATCTACTTTTCCTTCCATGAATCCAGCACATAACATTCCTGAAGTTATCAGACCATCATACACATCCTTTCTGTTACACACATCACTGCTTATGGTTTCCACCCTGGCTTGCCGAAGTTTGTTTTGTGTAGGTCCTGTTACAAAGACAAACAAACAAACATAAACATATTCTTCAAATGTATCTAAGACATGGAAGACATTTAACATGTATATACCTAGGAGTAAAAGTGCAACAATATTTTATTAACATTAATTGTTGCCTAATTTTATTTCTGTTTCATAAATGTCTCCATTTGAGGAACCATAAACATACACAACCCAGTATTATATCATATCAGCAGTTCTTCAAAAGCTTTGGAACCCTTGAAATTACATGCAATATTATGTACATACACACACACACACACACACACACACACACACACAAAACAATGTCTTGCATATATATAAAAAAATGTGTATGTATTTACATATACATACACATACATTTTTTTTTTCCCATGAGGAGAAGGTCCATCATACTGATGTTGTCTAACTGGCATGTTTTTCCATATAAAGAAATTAAGGTTCAGGGAAGGCGCCCTGAAGTATGGGGAACAGAGCAGATGTCTAGTATAAGCTAGCAATCAGACACCAGCAGGGCCAGGAGTTGGGAGGAGAGAATACTACACAACTGAGTACAGGAAGAGAAGGGAAGTGGCTTAGAGCTCCTGATTGAAACTGTCAATGAGTAGCCCTGAGTTAGTGGGAAGGGAAGGGAAGATTGAAGGAGACTTATTACAACATCTCACAAATTCAAGTTGGAAGTGCACAGGGCATTTGGGAAATTTTACATATAATCGAGTTCTTTAAAAAAAAAAGTCCAAACCAGATTAAGATATATTGGCATTTGTCACCTAGTTTCTTCGGGATATCCTTGATAAAACCTTAAATGTTTCTTATTTCCCCCGTTAAGATGTTTAATTAATCACTCTCTTTAAAATGGAGTGAACTAGTACCCAGAAATCTTAAGTTCTGGTCTTCAGTTTATAAAATTCTAGAATTGATGTCTTTTAAACACCTTAGGAAGTGAGACAGAGGAAAAGAAATACAGATTCTATTAAATAACCAAAATAAAAATTCACAAAGCACTTTTATGTTTATAATCATCACGTATCCTCATGAACATAAAGACGAATTTAGAAAAAAAAAGAAAAAAGTATCATAAAATTGTGGTTTGAAGTATATGCTAACCAGGAGTGTTTACATAAGGCAAATACACAATTTGGAATCATTTACTCCCTGGTACTCCACAGCTTATTGGCCCTTTTTATGGCATGTAAAGCAGTCTGTTCTGTTCTTCTTTCTTAGCCTCTCCCCTTTCTCCCCACTGTTTCAATGAACTGTGAATGCCTCAAGGATAAGGGCATGATTTCTTTTACTTTTTAACCCACCGCCAGCCCCCACCTCCAACCCTGATCTTCTTAGGGCCATACACACTGGGAGCATCAACACTATTTTTAGGAAAAAAATCTAAAGAGGGATTTTCTAAACCAGTTTGTCAGAGCTTAAGACATACTTATATTGATAAATTATGGGTACTCACCATCATCGACAATGGACCCAAACCCTGTGACAAATACACTTGTTTTAGGTGGCAGCTTTATAGATGAATCTGGGAGGCAAACTCTCTGGACTGCATTTGAATACTCAACTCGGGTAGTGAGCTGAGCCAAAGCAATGTCATTTTCATTTGATTCTCTTCGGTAATTTTCATGAACGATAATTTTTCTCACATTTCGTTGTACTGAGGGTGGCGTTATAGTGATACCAAAAGTAGCGATCCATTGACTTGGGTCTTTATTTCTGTAAAATATTAAACAGTAAAATTTATGATGCTTAACTTTATATTTTAAAAAAGATTGGGACTGTATTTCTTCCCACCTCTTGGGATTATGTGCTTGAAAAATCCCTATACTGAGAGAATTTGAAATTGATGACCTCATTGAGAAAAGAGGTTAAACAAGCTGATGATGTAAGTGAGCATATGGAGGCCCTTAAAATATTTTCGTCCTCTAAAATTTCATGCTCTAAAAAGAGCACAGCAACTAAATAAAATTTCAATGCTTCATTTAGGTTAATAATAGTAGTGGATATTATACAATTAATTTCCAATCTTTGAATTTCTTGTTTATTAGAAACTCATTAGATCCTCTGTCTTCTATAATTTAAATGAAATGTAGGGATATTAATTTTTATTTGTTTTGGATACTATTAATGCTAAAAGGCATTTCCCTCTGTATCACACACTCTATCCATTCTTATTTGATGACTTACTTGTTGGCTTTTGTTTACTAGGTCTTACTGTTATCCTTGAGATAAAGTGTACCTAATTTGTCTCTTCTGTATACAAACTCTTGAGTGATTACAGGATTGTTTTTTCACCTACGCCCAGACCCTGTCTGGTTATTTAAGGATAAGCAGCCTTGACTCAACTCAACATCATGCTGGGAGAGTTCCAACCACCCTTTCATCTGGCCTGGACAATCCCTCTTGCTATTTTTGAGGATCTCCCTTCACACATGTTTTCCTCTCCCACAATTACAGCACAAACAGCTGCTATGTAGTACTACTGTCTCATTATCTTTATATTCTTCCCCAAAGTTCAGTTCCTTCTTTTTGTACTTATCCTCATCGATGACTAGAAATATATAGAAACTTGAAATTCTCTGTGTAGAGGAAAATCATGTAGAAGGAAATCACACAGAGGATCATTATTCATAAAGGGGATTTCCTTGTTTATGTAGTGTTGCTGTGTTGATGAATCACAAGTGTTTCAGTGTAATGAAAACCTGAAAGATCAGTGGTTTTCAAAGTACTAGGCACTGCCCCCGGGATGAGCAGGCAGAGCCCTGCGGCAGTGGCATGGGGACTGGGAGGTGCCGAGGGATCCTCTCTCAGCTCTTTGACTTCTTTACACTTAAAGGATGTTTTTATTTAACGCTGAAACCTGAGTGCTGAAGGATTCATTTGAAAAGTAGCATTCTGGGAGATACAAGCTATATGACTTCAGTCCTCAAGGACCTCATAAACTAATTGAGTAGACAAAGGAAAGTACCCCATCTCTTCATTCATCGCCAACCAGAAAGGAAGCTTCATGTAATAGACCTTGTTCAACACGCTTGAGGCTAAGGGCAATGAGACTCAGAAGTTAAATGGCTTGCCCCAGCGAGGGACATATCCAGCTCTTTGGTGTCAGAGAAAGAGGCCCCATACCTCATGCTCTCCTATCAAAAACTTTTTTCCCCACCCACACAATTTCACAAAGACTAGGATCTTTTCTTTAATGGAAGTAAAGATATAACATTTGTTTTTAACATGATTTTTTTAAAAATATACTTTTTATAAGGAAAAAAACAAAAATTTTAAAACTCTTTGGGTAATTGTCATATTATCTTCAAAGAACCCTGTATTTTTCCTTCACAACACTATATGTTATTGTGCAATTGCATGAAATTATTATCCCCCCCATATTGAACCCTATCCAGGATTATTTCATTTCCCAACACTTTTAGATTATTATTATAAGCATAAAATATGCCATCATTCATATTTTAAGATCTTTCCTGTGAGTCCACAGCCATCATCACTTGTCAAATTTCTGTTCCCATTTACTTAAAAATTATTTGAAAGTGGCATCTAAAAACTCACTGCATCCAATCCTTCTTCTAGTGTCTATTCAGTTAATTCCCATCCCCATCTTGTCACCACAGTTTCTCTTATTAAGGTCACCAGTTATATCAATTTTACCAAACTCAATGGTCAATTTTCATTTGGGTCTTTTAGCACACAGAGACTATATTGGACCTGCTGAAATAAGTGTCTTAATTACTATATATTACATTCTTCACTAAATAGTAATACATTGACATCCAGATTTATTTTTAATTTACATAAACAGAGATCAGTTATAAATAAAAATGGATGATACTCCCCAAAATGAGTGCAAAGGTTGGAGCACTGTGTGAACAAAAATTCAGAAAGCCTTAAAAATTTAGTGAAACAAGTTCACTTAAGGTATCATGCTAGCTATTTTGTCGATATAAAGGAGTCTCTTTTCTCTTCTCTCAGGAGAGAGTGACAATCACCTTAATTTCTTAAAGTCATTTCTATTACACATCTACTCCATAAATAAAAGTGTAGGTACCTTACGAGGATGGTCAAGAGCCTCTTAGACTCACCAAAGATAATTTTCTGAAAGGATGGTGTGAACAGGTGCCACTGGGTAGGGCTTCATTCAGAGCTTTTACCTTTTGCGAGTTTAAACGGAAAAAAATTATGTACCCTCATGGAGAAACCACAGGGAGGAAAAAACATGTGTCCCCTGATCACCTGGGGCAAAAGGGTGCTGTGTACATATGCATACACGCACTGACATAGCTATAACTGAAAGCTCAAGAAGATTGCTCCTGCTCAGTCACATATGACCAGCCTTCTGTACTGTGAGGGCAGAGAGAGAGGGTGGCAGGTCTCTCCTATCATCCACACACCTTTCGGGTCCACACAAACCACAGGGATTCTTGGGTGACGCAGTTGGAAGGTATACCTTCAGGAGTGCTATCTTTGATTTTATCTTATTTAAAACGAGATAGTGGATGTTGATTGTGGGAGAATAGAAGGATTAATTTAAAGAAAAAAGAACAGGAGTGGTTAAATTTTCTCCTTGCACATACAGAAAAGTTTAAACTTGTTACATGTATAATAATCAGTCTTTACACTAAAATAATTTAATATATAGTAAGAAAGATAACATTAATGTCATGATAATACAGGAAAATATATGGTGAGAGCCATGAGAGTGATGTAAACCCAACATTATAGTCATTGAGAGCAGGAAGAGGAGATCAACATGATCAGGGCATAGAGCAAGCAAAACGCATTTTAGGGGACAGAAGAGGGTCCATCCATAATGGAGAAGAGGATAAGCTGAAGAGATTAGACTCTTCCCAAACACTGAATCAATTAATGGCAACTGATAACTAAATAAAGAAGACTCGCGACAGCCCTGGTGAACTTACTTGCGGAAGCAGTGAGCAGCTGTGAGGAGCCAGGTGTTACTGATGAGGGTGGCTCCGCACTGATGGCCCGCCCCTTTGAGCTGGAGGCTGGCCTGCCATGGCCACTCCCCTTCCACGGATGTTTCCCTTCCTTGGACAATCCTTTCTGTAGAAGTGTATGCTGGCAATGGCATGTTTGATGATGTCATCCTTAATCCACAACCTGTCACAGAAATATACATCAGCTTGTTTTCATGAAAAGGAGGAGGGAAAAGAGCGTATCCTGAAGTACATTGAGTGCTGATGCTCAGGCAATCCATTGCACCTGCTACTCTTGAACCCATTTCTAACATAGTCTCTGAGGTTATATGTAAGGGTCTTACTGATCTTATTGAGTTTCAGAAGAAATATTTACAATTATTTCAAGGCATGCAATCCAGGAATCAACTTCTGTCTCTCTACATAAAGCGCATATAGATGAATAAGTAGATAGGTAGATAATTTATTGAGCATCAAAAATGTATAGCTCCTCTATGATGATTCCCAGACGGAAGAGGGGTGAGTGAGATAGAAGAGGGTATAGGGGAGGAAAGTTGTGATGAAAGGAGACTGACTTGGGGTGGTGAACACATAATACAATATACAGATAATATATTATAGAATTATACATCTTAGATTTATATAATTTTATTAACCAATGTCACCCCAATAAATTCAATAAAAAGGTTAAAATGATGCTACGTGTTTTAGATACATTTACAACAAAACATTTTTCGGATGAGAAAACTCAGCCTTGGAAAGAGAACATAAATTGCTGGAGGTCACCCAGCTGGTAAGTGACAGAGTTGGATATTAAAGTAAAAGGATCCACACCAAAGTTTGTATATGTACTTCTAAATATACAAAAGTAGGTCATGGTTCTCCCTTGACATAAATCTATATTTCTGTCTTTGCAAAATCCTGAACTTAAACAATAATGACTTTTTAAAGTACCATATGATTTTACCTGTCTGTGGAATCTAATGAACAAACTAAACTAACAAAAACATAGAGATAGATTCATAGATAGAGAGCAGACTGATAGCCCTGGGAGGGTTGTGGGGTAGAGGGATCAAGTGAAAAAGGAAAAAAAAAAAAACCAGAACTCACAGACATGAACTGTTGTAATTGTGGCAGGAAGGGTGTAGGTGAAGGTAGAAGAGGGTATGATGATGGAAAAATAATAAAATAAGCTAAAATATATATGTACATATATGTTTTCTTGAAAGACTAGTTTTTTACAAAGTTTATTTGGATTGTCAATGGTTAATAACATAAGTTTCAAGTGTACATTCTGTAATACGTCTGAATATTGCATTGTGTGTTCATCACCTCAAATCTAGTCTCCCTCTCTTGCCAAAATATTTGACCCCCTTTATCTTCTTCATTATCCTCCTACCTCCCATTCTTTCTAGTAACTGCCTTTCAAGGTTTTTTTGTCTATAAGATACAGCATCATTAGAGTCTCACACATTAGATAAAATATAATCTCAGAATACAAATATATCACTTAAAAGTTATTTTCTACAAAAACTTTTAAGACACATTTGCTTGATATCAGCAAAGACATGCAAGAAAATATGACTTTAATATAACAAAAGCGGACAGCCCTAAGGGAAAAATATGCTGTGATAAGACCACATATAACAAAAGTGCTCTATATAAAGAAATAAAATTAAAGAAATTACCAAGAAATGTCATAACAGATATAAAATTGACATGGATGAAGTACTGAGAACAAAACTTAGACCAGACAATTGAGACAAGTGGTTTTCAGAAGTATAGAATTGTTAAAAAATCTTTCAGAATGCAGTAGAAAGTAACTTGAGCTGGAACTATAAATAGTAATTGCTATGAAGGGCAGAAAGTGGACATTCAAATAAATCATTTGTGTTCCTGAGTAAGAAAAAAAATAACAAATGAAACAGAATCAATCATCAAATTTATGGTGGAAGAACATTTCTCCAGAACAAGAAAAAACATTGTGTCTGCATTGAAACACTTTTAGTGTCCTAGTCAAAATTCAGTGAAAATACAACCACATCTATATCTCTTGGTAAACAAGTTATAAAGATCTCCTGTATTTGTTCAGAAACAAAAACAGATATCCTATATAAAAATAAAAATCACACCAGCCTTAAATTTCTATTCTATAGCAAAAATACTAGAAGAAAACAGAATATTCTGTACAGAATTTTGTGGAAAAGTTTAAAACCCAGTAACTTAGAAGACATTGAGATAAACAAAATGGAGATTCTTACATATGCAAGTACTCAGACAATATACCATTTGTATAATTTTCTTGTTTCAAATGACTTGAAGATATGGTTTAGCAGACAAAAAAGTAATGCTAAATCAATACTCAAGAGTGGGAAATAGTAAAATATTAATAGAACAGGAGATTTTAGTGATAGGTAAATAATTGTAACTAAGGGGATAAAATGGAACATAATGTTTAAAAACAATGTTAATCAACTATATAAGATTAAATGATAAGTAAAATTGTGAAGTTATTTATAAAAGACTGGAAAGTCAATTGAAGTTGAGGAAAAGAATTTAGACTGTTTTTCATCAGGCACTTGTTTTATCCTTGAGTTTTATAACTAAAAATATAAAGTTTCATATACAGATTTAACAAACATAAAGGCAAGTAAGAAGATATAAACAACATGTGTTCATAGAAAAAGGCAGAGCATAAGGGAAGAAGAAATATTTACCAAAAGCCAAAAAACATGAATGAGAACAAATACATAAGTATTGAGAATATTTGAAAATATGTTAAATGCTGCATGTTACATATAGAGAACATTCATTATATTTTAGTGTTTTTACAACCTTTTAATGGACATATATTTTTCCATAAAAGATCATAAATATGTACCAATGTAGGGACTGGTGAGGCAAAAACTGATCACAATAGATATTTTACGAAAAAGGCAAAACAGAAAAACCCAGAAAAATTTTAGCAGGAGGGAGCCTAACTAGTTACAAACTTAAAATACTCTCTGAACTATGTTAGTGTATTAAAATATAATTATTTAAATAAAATATTAAAATGTTAGAAATATAGCTATATATGTTATATCGAAAATATAATGTACTTTTTACCATAGTCTGTAAGCCAAAAAATTTTAAATTGTATTTGGTATAAATTTATAAATTTAAAAGCTTAAAAGTAATAATAATAAAAAGCTAAGTGGTTGATAAAAACATAAAATGAACAAAAATTCTTGGTACTATCTTGGTGATTATTCTGTTATTATATATATGAATATGCAGTCATTACATTGTACCCCTAAAACTAATATGGTGTTATATTAATTATATCTTAGTGAAAAAAAACTTGCTACATTTTACTAACTTTTTTTATGGCTTTTATTCATTATCTTTGCTATGAAAGAGAGAGTTAATTGTGGGTTTTGGAACTTACGGCTGTTGAGAAGATTCCTCATCTTTTTGCTGTCGATAGCTGAAATAAACAAAACACGAATTAGTTGGTATCAGAATATGTTCCTATTGTCATGTAATTTTGTTCAAATGGCTACTATAGGAAGTGTTTATTATCCAAAGCATTTATATTTCAAGAGAACATGAGATTTTTCATTGCCAAGTTATAAATAACCTTCTACTCTGATTTAATCCCAAATGATAAGTTTAATTTAAAATAAAAAGAGAGCATTTTGGTTTTAATTTTTGCTGAGAAATTAGAAACTGAAGTTAGAAACTTAGAAAAGAATGGTAAAGATGAATGTCCCTAACTGCTTCCTTTGGGAACTTCAGTACAACTCATTAAAGCAATCTCCGATTCCTATTACAATTGGTGTTCACTCTAGAAGGTGCACTAGCCTCCATGCAGTTGGTTGTGTTGAAAGGCAGCTCCAGATAGCTAAAGGCATTGCAGACCCCTCACAGCCCAATTTTCAGCCTCTGGTCTACAAAGGTGGGAACTCACATAATGCAGGTCAGTGGCTTTCGATCACTGAGGATTCTCCCTCTGATGAATATGGTGGAAGGCTGTGGCTCAACAGCAGGCGCTAGTGGCATGGAGTTCTATCATATTCATACAGCTAGTGCAGGGACCCCACCTAACACAATCTCTCCTCCACTTCATGCCTCCCTCTGTGATATCTTTTTACTTCAAATGTATCTTAAGTGTTCATTGAAGCTCAGTGTCATTTAATTTTTGGTGATTAAATGTTTGTTTTATTTTGGTTACTTGTTAGAGAAAAAAGAGAGAAGTATATGATAAGTTGCTCAGGAACGTTGACTTTCCCAAAAGAAGGATGTGAGTCCCAAATCATACTAGAGGTTTCCTGGATATTTCAATTCTCTTGATTTAACAAGAGATATTGAGCTGGCCAAAAAGTTTGTCCATTTTTTTCCCCCTGTAAGATGGCTCTGGTAGCACTTAGTTTTCTTTTGCTTCATTCAAAACAATTTTGTTAGATTATATTGTGACAGTGTTCATATCAGCATGCAGTTTTAAGAAACTTAACAAAATTGGTGAATTTTTGTCCAGCCATTTTCATATTGAAGATGGAATAAAATTCACAACATTTTGGGCATATTATGCTTTATTATTTCAAAAAAGGTAAAACGCAACTGAAATGCAAAAAAAGATTTGTTCAGTATATGGAGAAGGTGCTTTGAGCAAATGTGTCAAAAGTGGTTTGTGAAGTTTCATGCTGGAGATTTCTCATTGGACGATGCTCCACTGTCAGGTAAACCAGTTGAAGTTGATAGTGATCAAATTGAGACATTAGTTGAGAACAATAAACATTATGCCATAAGGGAGATAGCGAACATATTTAAAATATCCAAATCAATAGTTATCAGTGAAAATGAAAAATGTGTCTCTTATTTTATAGAAAAATACCTTATTGACTTTTTGGCAAACCCAATATCTGTATGGCAGAAAAAAAATGCAATAGAATTTTTACCACAAAATTTTATGACTAGATTTTATTAAATATAGCCATAGAATACCGTTAGTTTTATATTAAATCAATGCATATAATAAAAATTCAGTGTACATGACCAAGAAGATTGAAAAGAAATTTTTTATTTGTAAAATGAGAAAGTCTACACTTTAACATTCCTTTGATGTTAGATATTTTACTTTAGCATACATGATCATGCATTAAAGGCAATCATATTATCAGAAATTGAGATTTAATTTGAGATCGCCATTTATAATGTCCTGGAAAATACCATGTTTTGTTTTGGAATATAACTGATAGATAATAAAGGTGAAAACCGTACTCTTCATTATTACTAATTACTTCTTGAAAAACTTGTGTTTAATGTGTATGGGGATTACATCTCAAAATGTATTTACAGGAAACTCCTGTAAAAACATTTTGAGATGTTTCTTAACATCTCTTTCTTAAATTCATGGTTGCTGGGAGAGGAAATATTTTCAGTTCCAAAGGATAAGTCTTATTTTTTTTATATTAAGTCAGAAGTAACTGAACTTTGAAATATTTAAACAGAAGCAATGAACAGAGCTGAGACACCTATGGTATGTGAGACATATGCTAGAGTTTGGGGGGAGGGATAAGAAAATAAAGACAAAGTCGCTGACAATGACACTTAAAATCTTATTTGTAACACATTATTTAACTCTAATTATGTATTGATATAAAAAACAGAAATGCCTCTCAATTAAAATTGTAGCTAGCTTTGAGACTGTCTTAGTTTGAGCTTCATAACTTTTTGAACATAATTTTCTTCCACTTTTGAGGGAAAATATAATAATTTTCCTCATTTTGTTTTGTAAGGAATCAATAAAGAGATAAAGAAAATATTTTAAATTGGAAATAAGCTGGAGAACCACCTCCCAGTTCATGTCAATTTTTCTTTCTACAGGAGTAAACCTTCATAAAGATGTCTATTGCGTTGGTACTACAGAAGCTAATCCTCAGAGCTAACCTGCAAAGACCAGCTCTGGCCCCAAGCCTTGCTAGTCCTGTGTCTTACACCTTCCTTAAGTCTCAGATTCCTTAAAATGATGAAACTAATGCCCACTCTTCTATGTTTTTGAAAATATATAACATGATAATACATGGGGAAAATGTAGAAAGTATAGAAGAGACCTAAACCAAATATAAAAAACAAATATTCATAAAACTAAACTTTGCCTCATAGTGAATTTTTTATTTTAGTTTTATTCCATACTGATATATGCATATCACTGGTGAATTCTTCAAATGAGAGAATACATTGACTTAAATTCTTATGAAAGGATTGCAAGAGAAGGGAATCATGAAGGTGGTAAAAGAACTTACATGTAAGTGTAAATGATGGTGTGTTTATAGTCAAAGGCAACTGTTTTGTCTTCAGATTTTGATATAAAATATTCTCAATTCTTTTCCTGATTTGTTCAGCAATACCAGTAGATGGGTATCGAAACATGAGCACTATAAGAATGTTCACACCATTTTTATCTGGACTAAAGAACAAAAAAGAAGATAAATAAAGATAATAATAAAGCCAGTTCTCTAATCATTAATTATTTTTAGGTGTTAAGATTCACACTAAATTTAAAGTAATATAATGGATGGCATATGTGTATATCATATTCCTAAATTATCTCTTGAAATACTGATTAAGATATACAACTGAAAAATATATTGTTCTCTGCCCTAACTTAGCTCATAGTCTGGAGGAGTTATGGGAAAAGGAGATATTTATGAACTCATGCTTTACATGCACTTAAAGGATTTGTTCTTTAAGGTAATTTGAGCCAAAGGTGTAACCATCATTATTCTTCAGTAGTGATGTGGAAAAGACAATGCTTTGTGTTCACCAAACCCAGGTATCTTTGCCTTATGAGCACAGATCTAGATTTCATTTCCTAGCCTTTCTTTCAGTTTATTGAAACTCCCTAGTGAATTCTAGACAATGGAATGTGGGCAGAAATGATGTACCCCACTTCCAGGCCCAGGCCCTAGAAACCTCCCCTTCTACCTTCCATGACTTCACTCTTCCTGTATCTGCCAACCAGATGCAGAAAACCCAGGGGCAAATCCTGCCATCCCTGCCAGCACCCACATCCCCTGCTGCCACTTCTGACACTTTGAATTGAGCCACCGAAATGAAATAAACTTTTATTGTGTCAAACCATTTGGTGCTTGGTAGGTTGATGATCAGTTAATGCATGTTTGATAAGTAGATGGTTAGAGAAAGAAGTTATAAAAGGAAATCTATAGATCAGGATTTCAAATATATTAATTTATACTATAATGTGTAGGTCTAAGAAGCCTCTGCTGCCTTTTGATAATGAATTTAATTGGAAACATATAACCAATAAAGGAAGGAAGGAGAGGATGAAGAAAGGGAAGTAAGGAAGGGACAAATGCACAGAGCAGAGAGGTAGATAAGGCAGGAGCTCCTCAACCATATGCATATTTACTTTACCATCAAGAAGTAAAGCATACAAATAAGTACTACAAATACACATATTTATATATTGATTGATATCCATAGAAAAAATTTAGTAACTTTCATCAAAAATGGGTAGAAAAAATATATTATTCTAATAAATGCCAAGCCTCAGATGGGTTCTAGTAATTTATCTTAGTCTCTGACAACAAGTATATTATCAACTTATGAATTTATTGATATTGCCTTTTATAGGAGTGTAAATATGAAAGTATGAAAAAATTTAAAAATAACAATTGAAATATAATGGCATTAAAGAAAACCTTATTGCAGAGAAAGTCATAGGCTGGTTGTTGGGTAGGCTTAAAATGAGTTCAATCAAAAAGAACTGGACTAAGTTCCACTGAGCCCCTCACTTAAGGAACAGGGTATGTTGGCAGCACCATCTTGCCTCTTCCTGCATTATTTTTCTCTTGGAGAGCACTTTTATTTTTACTCCAATAAGTGACATTGTCTCTTGTCATAGAGCACTTTACATCTTTCTATTAAAACTGGCAAATGGCTAGGCAGTATCAACTGGGCTGCTCAAGATTCATCACATCTTTGTGTTCCTGCAAACATTTGTTCATGGGAGCTGAGCATTTGTGTTGATTCAATGCTTCTTAATGTACTGGTTTGAAGTTGCAAACCAAGATTACCTACCTTATTTTGATAACATGAGATTTGATAAACCGACCTGCTCCAGAAGAACGTCGAAATATCCTAGACATCTGATTAGAAAAATTTTAAAAAGTATTAGTTTTAAGAAAAATGTTATGCCTTGTCTTATCTAGAGACGTGAGGCATGACAAGGATTTCAGTTTATTCTCAGATATGTGCACAGGCTATTCATTGCAATCAGACTAAATCAGGCTCTAGTCCTTACAGAACTGAACAACCTTAACAAAACCGTTCAATTTTGCTGAACTCCTGAAAAATAGGATAATAATTATATCTACCTCATAGAGTTATTTTGAGGATTAAATGAATATATATCACACATTTCAAACCTTGCCTGACATGTTGTAAACTATTGATAATGGTCATTGGGATTATCATCAAATGAATTAAAGTATCGGTGCTAATTTTTAAGGCAGCATCCTCACTTCTAAGAAAACCAGCTGTAAGTTATCCTTATTCTCAATCATGGCATCTAGTCCATTATTGATATTAATTTGTTGATTTCTTAAATGATTATCCTATTACTACAGCGTTTGACATAATATGTAACAACATCTACTGTGTGACAATCACACCTTCACTTGTTAGTCATCTCTCTGTGGCAGGTGTGTTTCACAACTGGTGCTAGATTTAGAAGCAAGTTTCACCACTCTCCATACTGTCAGCATTTTGTTACTAGGCTTTTCCAGTCTGAACCAGTGAAAGATTTTGAATGTTCAGTGAATTGATTTCCCAAAGGGTTCTGATTTCCAAAAGACTGTTAAGTTGCTGCCTTAGAGACAAAACAACAACAACAACAACAAAGCAAAAAAACATGAACTGAGAGTCAAATATTACAGGTCCACGTAAGTTTACATAGGCCCACATCACTGATTAATCTTGCCCCCCAATTACTGTATGCTCTGGGAAGAGGGAATATTGCCTTCTTCCCCATAAGATTCCTCCTTCTCCTTGACTCTTCTAAACTAGTAACAATGCTCGGTAGGTCTTACCTCCTAAAATATTGATTCTACATCCTTTCCTGCAATCCCTCTGCTATGGTCTAAAATAGGTTCCCTTGAAACTTGTGCCTTTGCAGCAGTCCCTTCACTGGCATGTTTATGTGGTCCTCTTCTATCTTTCTTCTCCTCAGTTGTTGCCCGACAATGCTGGCAACAAGGATATTTCTAAAGTGCAAATCTGAGTATGTTATACCCCTGCTTCAAGCCCAATGTCTCCCTCCATCTGAGCTCCACAGTCCTATCCTTTCATTGGCCCTTGGCCCATCCCTATATTCCAGGCCTATTCTCCTATCTACTGAATGGCTGGTTCCTTTCTAAGACCGATAAACTTGTTCACACCTCTATGACTATACACATTCATTTTCGTCCTCCTACAATACATTTTTTATCTCAGGCAAATTTCTTCAGTGACAACTCTGTTATTCTTCAGAAACTTCAGTGACAACTAAGTTATTTTTGACTTGCCCTCCTCAAACAAAGTTGAACCTTCCTTTATCTGGGCCACCACAGCATCTTGCTCATGATTCTCTTACAGCGATTATCATGCCAGTTTGCAGTAGTGTTTTTCCCACCCTAGACTGTGAGCTGCGTGACTGCTGGGAGGGTGCCTAATTCATTTTTTGTATCTCCAGAATTTGGTACATTGCTTGGCCCACAGCAAACACTCAATGCATGTTTAATGAATAAACCCATGAATAAATACATGAGTAAATGAATAAAGTACCAAATTTAAAGGGAAGAGGATAATAAAGCATTGTTTTGGTTTTATCAGCAAATCATGTTGCCAGATGTTTAGTAGAAATCCATGGGAATCGAAAGTAAAGTAGAGTAAAGTAAGGTGAGAATCCCCCCAAGACCCCACAGGTGACCTCCACAGGGATGGTCATTCCAGGGGTTTGAATCAGTTCCGAGTTATATTTCTTATGATTTCACTAAGCTCCTCTGAGTTCATTTTATTTTCATTTCTCAAGGAACAGGGAGAAAATCTGAGTTTAAGGCCTCCAACATTTTATATAAAGGTCATATGAAAATTTTAACTGTGTATACAATAGCCCTTTGGAAAAAGATCAAGATCCTGTCATATAAGAGTATGAAAAACTACAAAGAATCTCTTCAAACAAAAATGTGATATTAATAAAATGATGGTTCCCTGAGGTGTCAACCTCCATTTAAAAAATTGGTAGATTCTGATACAGTATAGTATTGATATAACCACTAAGAACAGCTTACATGTATTAATCCCATACTACATGGTAAGCATTGGACTGATTGCTTTGGTTAAAACTCACACAACCTCATGAGGAAAGTATTTATTTATCCTCAAGAGCCCCATTGTATAGATGAATTAACTGAGACTCAGGACACATAAGTCAACTTGTCCACAGAAAGTGGTGTTTCTGCACTATGCTATGCAGCTTAAACTAATATAATATTGAATGTCAACTGTAACTGAAATTTTTAAAAAATTAATGAAAAATATACAAACAAAAATGCACATGTATGTGGGGTATTAGGAAAACATAACCAAGTCTGAAGTTGTAACAGCACAGTGGTTAAGCACATTGTCCATTTGTGAAGCTGTCTCTTACCAGGCAGTGATTTTAGAAGCATCATTTAGCATCTCTGTGCTTACGCGTCCTCGCTTGTAAAAAGGGAATTATACAATCATTACCTTGTAAAGTTGTTGTAAAGTTATAAAGCATGAGGAACAAAAACAAAAGAAAGTAGGAGTTTTGACACAAAAACCCAGGGAATCGGGCACTAGGTTTTGTGTTCCTAAATCCAGTAAGCGATACTGACAATCCTGTGTTACTTACATACTTGACAACAGATGTTTGGGTGGATGCCAGGTCAGGAAACCCTTAAAAAGGCCTCAATACATCTTTTATTTCCTGACTCTAAGTCTCATAAAAGGTAACTTTTTGGGAGGTTGCTCTTTTCTGCTTCTCAGTTGAACAAGGCTAAGGGAACTGTTGCTCTCTAGACACCTATTTATTGTAAGCAATTTCTGGAAATGTTTAACACATGTTTATGTTTTTCTAATAAAAACTAATTAGTATTACTTTTAGTCCAAATTACAAAAATTAATTGTATCCTTCCCTGTTTATGATTCAAACCATAAAGAACAAATCATTTTATTGGAGATTATTCTATTTCAAACAAGAGTGTGTGAGTTTATGGTAAAACAGAAAAGCTCTCCTTAAGATCATATACCAATTGTAGTCTTTGGTTTGAACTACCAACATTAAAAAAAAACAACAACAAAACCTAAAAAACCCTGATATAAAATGTTTGAAACAAACTGTGGCTCTGCCTGATAGGACACCCAGTTACTGTCTCTGGCAACACTGAGCTTTCCCCTCTGGCTGGGAACTACATGCAGGTTGTCCTCATGGAAGATGAGTAGTTACTAGATGCCAACTGGTGGACCCCTTTCCAGGTCCACCTATGAAAATAAGCCAGGCAAACTCTGCAGGTTTCCTGTTACTATCAGGGAAATATGTACCAGCAGAGGGCGAATATACCAAGAAAATGAATCCCATTTCCCTTTTTTTCTCCAAGAAAGCTTCCTGCTAGTTAAAAGGGATTTTCCTTCCTCTGAACTAAAATGAACTATGATCATCTGGGTCATATATTTGATGATTGTATTCTGCACTGTGGCAGCTTCCATACTGTAATATCATCTTTTTAACTCATCAAAATTTTTAGTTTCTATTCTTTTCCATGCATAAACTTCCATATATAAGCCATATTTTAGTCCAAAGCTTTGTGGTCCCTGGACTCACAGACCACAGAGATAGACAGTAATGAATAAAAAGGCAACTAGTATAGTAAAGTCATACAGCATAACGGTAGGGGGGTCAATAACAGGAAGTGGTTGTCCATGGAGGAGACATTTCAGTGATACCTGAAGGACCAAAAAAGAGTAAGCTACAAAAAGAGCAGTGCTATGGGACAATCTCCCAGGTAGAAGAAACAGGATGTACAGAGAATCCAAAAGAATGTCAATATAAGTAGAGAAGAGTGAGCAGGAGGAGAGTATAAAAGTTAGAGGAAAAACCCTGACTGCTATGGCTCAGTGGATTGACTGCCAACCTGTGAACCAAAAAACCACCGGTTTGATTCTCATTCAAGGCACATGCCTGGGTTGTGGGCCAGGTCCCCAGTAAGGAGCACACGAGAAGCAACCACACATTGATGTTTCTCTCCCTCTCTTTCTCCTCCCTTCCCCTCTGTCTAAAAAGAAATAAATAAAATATTTTTTAAAAAGTTGGAGGAATAGTTAGAGCCAAAACATTCAGGTCCTTGGAGACCTTCATGAGGAGCTTGGATTCTCTTTTTTTTTTGTCCCCCCAGGAAATTGTTGGGGTATTTTTTTTTTTAGTTTGTCAGTTATAATTGAAATTCAATATTATTTTAAATTAGTTTCAGATGTATAGGACAATGGTTAGACATTTATGTAATTTATGAAGTGACCCCCCCCCATAAGTCTAGTATCCAACTGGCCATAAAAACAATGAAATCTCACCATCTATGACAACATGGATGGATCTAGAGAGTATTACACTAAGTGAAATAAGTCAGACAGAGGAAAACAAGTGCTACATGATTTCACTTATATGTAGAACCTAAAGAACTAAATAAATGAACACACAAAACAGAAACAAACTCATAGATATAGAAGAGCTTGAATTTACTCTAAGAACATGAGGAAGCCATTTATGAAGTTTTAAACAAAATAATACTGTAATGTGTTTTTAAAGGATAATTCTGGTTGCTCTGTAGACAAGATATTAGAGGGAGCCTGATATGAAGCCGTGATTACTGTGAGTTGCCTATATGAAGAAAGATAGTAGTTGGATCTAGGATGGAGACAGTGAATTAGAAACAGAAACATGACATGTGAATGGATTAGATATGAGGATAAGGGAAATGAAGGTATTTTGGCAGGTAGACAAATAGTGATGTCATTTGTTGAGTGGAGGAAAAAAGGGGAATAAGAGAATGGGATGGGGAAGCAACTTTCAAGAATTGGATTTAGATATGATAACTTTGAGGTACCTGTGAGAGATTCAAGTGGAAATGTTACATAGAAAATGAACCTTACAAGTCTGGAGTTCAGAGAAATCTGGGTTAGTGATTAAAATTTTGGAATTAGAGCTACTGTATATCTGTCAGTACTTCCCCATATTTTTCTGCTGAGAGGACCCCTCCTTTCCTATAGAGAAGTCATTCTGTATCATCCATATAGAGCTAAATTTGTTCCCCCTTCATTGCTCACACAGATAGAACAGTTTTACCCCCTTAGTCAAAGTGATTATCATAGAGATGGGCAGATATTCCAAATTTGGTCAAGTAGATTGGTTTTCCATACTTTCCCCTAGGAAATATTATGGGAAATTATCTTTTTCTGCTTCAGTAAATAACTTGGGAATATGTAGCTATTAATATCTTATCTTCCACATGCACAATAATTTTTTTTTTAATTAAAAGCCTCAGGACATTGTTTGAGCCTCTGAATTCAGCCATACCTGAAGCCAGGTAAATCTCTAGATTTTCCCAACAGTCTTATCCTTTCTTCTTCCTTCCTTCCTTCTTTTTCTTTCCTTCCTTCCTTCCTTCTTTCTTTCCCCCTTCTTTTCTTTCTTCTTTCCTCTTTTTTTCCTCCCTCCTTACCTACCACTCTCTTTCATTCTTGCTTTCTTTTTCTCATTAATTGGGTTTCTGTTATTTTCTACCAAAAGTGTCCTATTCAACATGGGGAAGGATGAGATCATTTATGGAGCAAAAAAGAAAGAGAAGCAAGGAAAGGATCATGCCTTGGATGATCTGGAGGCCTAGATAAATGGGACTTCTACTGTTTATAATCACATGTAAGCAAATAGAGCTTTTCTTCTTAAGAAATCTTTTAAGAAGCTGAATTTACTTAAATGATTATAAATTGTGATAAAAGAGAAATTTTAGCAGATATTTGTTTCCTACCCATCCCCCAGCTTCTATAAGTCTTGATTGAAAACAGCTCACATCTATGGGTCAAAAAGTGAAGCCAATGTTTCATAGAGGATATGGAAAATATCAGAACTTCTGTTTATGTTTATTTTTATGTAAACAAACAAGGTTTTCGAGCACTGGCCCTGAGCTTTGGAATAATACCAGGAGTGCACTAACTAACTGATGTTTTCTAAAACAATGTGGAGATCAGTTTGAGGCATGGAGTGGAGGGGTGGAGGGTTGGGGGGTGGGATGGAAGATGGACAAAATAGATGAGAGCAGTTAAATGGTAAAAACGTTCATTCATAAAATAAGTCATGGGGATGTAATGTACAGCATGGTGACTATAGGGAATAATACTGTATTGTACAGTAAGTTTTCACAACATTTTTGATAGGTTTTGTGACTTTAAGGGACACCAATTTTACCATAGGTTAATTGATATAAATAAGAGCTAAGTTTCTGTGGCATCTCATTATCTTTATAATGAAATTACATTATTGAAGGGCCTTCTGTATATTTGAAAATTGCCAAAAGAGTAGATCTTAAAAGTTCTCACCATGATTTAAAAAAATATATAACTATGTGTGATATTAAGTAAAAAATGTATAACTATGTGTGATATTAAGTAGGCTTATGGCGGTGGTCATTTTGCAATAAATACAAATATCAAATTGTTATGATGTACAACTGAAAATGTTATACACCAAATATATTTTAATAAAAAATAAAATAATCTGAACATAACTCTGAATAAACCCACTGACCAATAAGTTGAGGAAAAAAAAGAATTGTGGCAACATAATTGTAAAAAAATACTGGTATATTAAGTGGCAAGCACTAAATAGCTATGGAAAGGAAAATAACATTTATTGATTTTCAACATTTAAAATTAACCTATGTAAAAATAACTGAATAAAATGCAAATACTTCCCTACATTGTTAATAATTCAAAGAAACTTGAGTGCAATGATTGAAGTGTTAGAGGGCTAAATATTCATCTTTTAATTAAGAGATAGTGTCTATAGATAATCATAGACACATTACTTTTCTATAGACAGATTACTTATCTTTCTCTAACAGCTTTCATAAGCTAAAAGTAATATACTCTAGGCCAAAATACTTATTTTCTAAACAAATCTATGGTTTCCATAGACATGCTTCTCATGAGACCAAAAAGTGGAAGACTATTTTACTTGACTTTCTGCTATAATAGGTAATGATTTAATTTGACTAAAATAGTTTTTAAAAAATATATAAATGTTTTGATAAATGCATAAGTTTTCAAAGGCAACCAAAATATTTGAGGGCTGTTACTAATTTGAGATTGATATCTATTCAAGACACATATCCTTGTATGTAACCCTTTACATACTTTTAAAAGCAAAATTTTAAAAAATGATAGAGCAAATATGGCTATCCTAATTCTTATGTTAAAAAATGATAGAGGAAAATGAATCAAGAAAGAAAATCAAGTTAAAAATAGGAAAACATCTGTTTCAACCCGAAATCTCCTGAGGTGCTAATTAGTCACTTACTCTCATCTACATACATTTAATAGTACAGTATTTTATTTTCAATATTTTACATATATTAAGTTATTTAATACTAATAACTATATAACCTAGATACTATATTTTCTTCATTTCACAGAAAAAAAGATAGAGGCATGGGAAGTTAAGTACCTATGACAGCTGCATTCAAAGTGAGACCAAAAAACACACATAAACTTTAAAAATTTCTATTGGACTTACCAATCTCTCAATCTGATTACTCCTTTGTGTAAACTCTTTTGAGGTTTTTATTCCATAATTTTCTTTGTATTTTATGTTTGTAACTTGAAAAGAGGCAAGGTAATAAAATGACTTATCATCTGGAAGGTAAATAAACAAAAAAAAAAATCCATATGTAAGTATAATCAGTTCCTTGTCCCCTAAACCCAGGAAATAGGCTTACTATAATGCAGCCTATTTCTTCTCAGTACAAAAATTATTGTGAATATTTTTTCAAATATTATGTAATTTCATCATTATACTCAGTTAAAACAGAAAATTCAGCCTCAGATTATACTTTCGTAATACCTCATGTATAGCATTTTTGCATATTGAATTTTTCATACAATTGGACATGCAATGTACAATGGAAAGTAAACAGTAAAAGCAATTGTGGAAAGTCATATAAAATTATGATTGTTCAAAAAAAACACCAATGTTCCCAAAGAATTATAGTATAGGTGTATCATAGCTAAGCTGTATTATGAAGATACATTGAACAGACTATCAGTTTTTTTTCTATACCACTGATAAGCTTAATTAAATAGAAGCCTATATTTATTGTTTTTTACATTCTTTTTGTCTATTCATTTCTCAGTTCTCTGAATTTTTGACCAACACGGCACTGAAACTGCCATTGAAAGGGCTACAGTTGTAATATTAAATGTCCACCTTTTCTTTCTTTCTTTCTTAGTTTCTTTGCAGCCTTAACTATGTTCTCTGAAACTCTATTTAGCATTATAAAGCCATCTTCCAATATTCTTCCTTCCTCCCTGGCCACTCCTTTTCAGGTACTTTGAAGAACTCTTTATTCCTACTTCTATCCTGAGCCACCCAATGTTCTATCCTTGTCCTGGTCTTGTCCTCTCAAGTGATCTTAACTATAAAAGCCTCAACCATCAACTATTTGTTGATGTTAAAAGATAAACCAAGCCACATTTAAAATTTCAATTTCCTTATGCAAACATCAATTCCAATGAGACAGTGCCAAATCAAAAGTAGTTAGGAGCACTCCATGGACAGTAATTAAGGGATATTTTTATAGATAACATGCAGGGGGGAAAAGCAAGGATATTATTTGATTGGCTACAGCTTAATTAAGTGGTTGCTTTATCTGAGAAAACTTGCTTTGGATTGGCTGTTTCTAAGCTTCATTTTCTCAGATAAGAGTGCATTGACTCTGATTTAGGTTTTGGTTTGCTTACGTAGGCTACCAAGGTATTAGAACCACCTCAGTTCAATGATCTCCCTGTTTTAATTACTTGAACAACTGATGACTCAATATCTGTATTTCCAGACCTGATTTTTACCATGAGTTTCAATTCTGTAACAACTGACTCCAGGGATTACTCATTGGACATTCAACAGGCATCATTTATATTTCCAAAGGGAAATAATTATTTACCTCTTCCTCTACTCAAACCTGCTCTACTTCTTATGTTTTCTGTCTTCATAAACACTGCCATCAATCACACCATCACCCAAAGCTTGGCTTCATCCTCATTTCCAATATTAAATCAATCTTGTAGTCTCTTATTTCTATGGGTGCAACCCACTGATAATTCTCAAATCATTTATCCCATCCAGAAAAGCTACAACTTTAATTCAAAATCAGCCACTCAGTTAATGTATATCCACACCAAATGACTTTTCTATAACAAAAGAAGTCACCCTGTCTAGATAATCTATTTTAAATACTACCATCACAATCTACTTCATCACCCAGACAAGAAATTTTGGGGTAATCTTTGATCTCTTCCTAATTAAACAGCAAGGTCTGACAATGCTATCACTCAAATTTTTAAAATCCATTCTCTATTCACAAATGCTACTGCCACCAGTGTTCTAGTTCATTTCCTCACCATTTATTGTCTAGAAAATGTAATGGCTTTCTAATTATTACCTGGCTTCAAGTTCTGTTTTCCTTACATCTATTCCCCACATAGTTGTAGAGTCATCTTTTTCAATTAAAAAAAATTGATCAAATTGCTTCTCTAACTAAAATACTTTGATTTTTCTCCATTTCCTATAATAAGGAGTCTCAACTCTGTGATGATCTACATAGGTTTTTCTTGACCTAGATTCTGCCTACCTCTTGAGCATATTCTTCACCACCTTACCTTTAGGATTTATGTTAAAACTACAGCAATTTATATGCATTTATCAGCATTAAACATGCTGATTTTTTGCATTTCAAATGGAGTCACTATTTCAGGTAATACGAGTAAAGAGACCAGTAATTTAGCTTCTTAGAAAGCAATAAATAAATAAATAAATATTCAAAATTTTTAAGTGCATTCTATATGAGAATGTGCTCAGCACCCTAATTTTTAATTAGATTTACTAATTAGTCATTTTAAACATTTCTCAAATGATAAATGCTATATGAGAAACTTTGGAAGTAACAGATGGGTATACATAAGATAATAAAAATAATCTATAACCCTAACATCTAGAAGTAACTTATATTATTATTTTTGCCTATCTTTCTTTTTAGAAAATATTGTTTTAATTGGCTGAAGTTTGATGAAATAAAAAAGTAACATTCCACAACTAGCATATGGTGGGTTTGAAATTGGAACATTTAGATCTGACTCTGAATCTCATGATGGAATGCATTTCCTACATTCCTGGAAGCGGAGCCAGTCCTGAAGAATGAGGAGACAAATGATGCTGTCCTAATTCTGGCTTTACTTGCAGATTTCAAACAGTAAGCTTTAAAAAATGGCTTCAGAAAGTTGAGTTACTGGATTTTGTGAAAATACAATACTAAAGACTATGTTCTTCAAAATATTTTGTGCAACTCTTTATAAAAAAGAATTGTATTCACACCATAATGAAAGATGTACTAAGAAATCCTAAATAATCCTGAAAAAAATTAACCAGAATCATGAAAATGTTGAAAAAAGTAATTTACTATATAATTCTAGGTAACTGAAAAATAAACACCAGATTACTGGGAATTTCAGTTTTTGAAATTTTCTAGTTATTTTCATATTTCATGTAAATGGTTGTGGTGATTTCATTCATTAATATTAAAAGATTCTTATACAATTATGTAAGTATCATCATTATATATATGTGTGTATATATCTATATCTCCCATAAAGTATATGTTACAAATACTTTATACCATAAACTCATACAACTGACAATAAATATATATCTAGAATACAGAAAGAACTACCCAAATCAATAGGAAAAGAAAGATGACAATAAACAAATGGAGAAAAGATTTGAACAGGCACTTCACCAAAAAGGGAAGTCTAAATGATCAATTAATACATGGATGGGTGTCCACTGTGATCAGAAAAACACAAATTAAAAGTACAGCGACAGTACTACAATGTACACCAAATTAGCAAATATATAAAGGTATGCCAATAGCAAATATCAATATGTATATGTGAAGCAACAGGAACTCCTATGCAGTGCTGATAGAAATAGCTTATTATTATTCATAAAGTTAAAAAAAATCACATGCTCAGTGGCCCAGCAATTCTACATCTGCATATGTTCCCTATACAAACTCTAACACATGTGTTCCAAGATATATGTATAAGAAGGTTCATAGCAGTATTGTTTAACATCTAAAACCTGGAACCACCCAAATGTCCATGAACATTTGAATAGATACGTCAATTATGGCATGTTTAAGACAATGGAGTATTAGTAGTCAATATTGAAAAAAGATGGGCTAATGCTATGTACAAAAAAAATAAATAAATAAAGGCTGACTCCTGCAACAGTATTGAGTAGAAACAAAGCTCAGAAAATACATGTAACATTGTTATACTTTTTTATGTTCAAATAGGGATTTTAAAATATTTTATTTTCTTTTAATTAAATAATAAAGGTGAATCGAAATGGAAATTCCAAGGATAAATAAGAATCCAACAGTTAAGTTGTAAGTCATAAGATTCTGTAAAATTTTAGGCAAAATTTCAGTTACCAGTGATTATAAATATCAAATGAATCTTGGTTGATTGTCATTTGGTTTAACTGTGGTACTAACAATCCATTTTTGCACTTAAGGTGAAGCTAGTCCTAAGGTTTCTCTTGTTCCCCTGTGATGAAACAATCTCTTTTCCCTTCAAAAATAATGTTTGGTCTTTAGCCCTTTAAAATATTTTTAGGTAACTTTTCTCATATCATCAACATTTCTTGGGGTAACTCAATGTGTTGATTTTGAGAAAAGTATGTTAAACTCAGCACATGATGTGGTTTGTCTTTACTGTGAAGATAATCTTTCATTATTCTTTTTAAGTATGTATTTCTTTTAGCTGTGTCTATATTGCAGGTTTAACTGGGTAAGAATATGTAACAAAGAGTTCAATACCAGAGCAAACTATAATTTAACATTAGTAAAAGATTAGTAATTAAAATGTTAATATCATGCAAATGGCACTTTTTATACAACAGAGAACTTTAGGATATTAAGTAATGGAACTCTTAGGCAATAGAAATGTGACCTGGATACTTACCCTCAACAACAAAATGAGTAACAATGCCAATTGTAATTCCTATGATTGCTGCAATTACCAATGTGAAAATAGCTAGCCGGACAGGGTCCCAAAATTGTTGCCTTCTTTGATATTCAACTTGTGGGTAATCAGCTTCTGAAAATTCAATTGGTCTGTGATAATAGAAGGAAATAAACAATAAAAAGTAAGACAGGATAATGTTCATTATGGCTCTACCCTATGTTCACTTGCTTTATTATTCTACGAAAATAGTTTATACTGCTAAATAACAACAGGATACTTAGATACTGAAAAGAAAGAACATAAGGTTTTAATTTGCATACACTTCCCCAATGTGCCAGTCACAATATAAGCTTTAGTTAAAGCTCTACTGATGTTGACATTCAAATGGGAATATCTTCCCACTTCATTCTCTCTGAAGTGCTGACAACTTGAAATGTGGGAGATGAAATACAAAAACTCAATTAAAGAACAGCTAATTTATAAATAATATTTTCATATTTTAATATGGAAATTTTAGCAACAAATTTATATAATAATTTCATCAGTTACAATTGATTAAAGATAAAAGATCTTAGTATGAATACTTTTTGAATTTAATACTTTTTACAGTTTCTTAATGGCTTGATTTAACAGTCTAAACCTTACTTTTGAAGATCTAATCATGGTTCTTCACACTTTATTAGCACCTCCACATAAGTCACAGATTGTGAACTATACCTGATAAGACTCCAGTCCTCGTGAAGACTTTTTATTTCCACTTGACCTGCCCACCCGTTAAATATATTAAGCCATTTAAATTATCTTTCTCCAACTTGAAAGTTGGCATTATTTACTTTATTTTCTGAATCCCCAAATGGGATTCACTATATAATATCTTGCAAGTAAGATTTTTGGGACCATTTTTGTTTTTAATTGTATCTAAGAAATATTTATTTAAAATGTATTAATTAAATGAGATAATAGAAAGTCCTTAGAATAGTATCTACCACATTATAATAATGTTTCAGAATGTATCAGACTGATAAAAACAATCATCACAGAGGAATGAAGGAGGATAGAAATTAAAGCCAAAGTACCCACAGGAAGATGGTGTAGAGGTCATTTAAAACAGTAACTGTTAAGGCTGGTGCTACCCAACCCAGAAAAAACAAAAAAGTTTCTAATGTCCCCATGTACAATGTCTACCTTCTTACCTAAATGATGTTACCATTTTCAAAATCTTTTTCTCCCTAACTTTTGTTAATTTGATTGCTGTACCTTGAGCTCTTCAAGAAGCAAAAAATTACAAAAATAACACTCTGTCAGATTTAAGGGGGTGATAGCCATGTATTACATCATGATAACACTGCATCATCGTAGAGGAGATTTTATCAAGATCATACAGAATTTTAAAGTGAGTTTTGTTTGCTGATGAGCTTATTCTCAGTTTGATATACTAGGATGCTGACTTTTGTTTAATGTAGAAGTTGAAATAAGTTTTACCATTTCAGTGGTAAATACTCATTTCAGTGTTCTGAAGTAGAACTGATAGGAGCAGTATGCAGATACTAGATAATTGCAAAGGAAGTGGTGTTTACCCTAACTAAACAAAAATTCAGAGCAGTCCTAAGGCAATAAACTCTCAGTACTTTGCTGAAAGTTAGAAATATATTTTTTAAATGTGCAACTGGTTCAAACTTTGAAATTACTTTTTTATTTTGATGACATATAAAATCCCTTTATATAGTTCTATATATTTTTATATTTGCACATGACAATTATTTATTCATTTATTCTGAATATGAAACTTTTTGATAGTACCTTGTATTGCATCTGTTTAAAGCAGAGTATCAAGCATAAATTTGTTCTTTAGCGTTTAGTTTTGGGGAAAAGGGTTGTTTGTTTTGCCTTGTTTTATTTTCTTCTTGAAAAAGTAAAATGAAAACAAAAATTGGAAACATAAATGGAGAAGGAAAGGGCAAATCAAACTTATTCCTCTAATAAGGCAAACTTTTAAAAGTTAGATGGAAAATATTGGTATATGTTCAAATTTGTTGATTGTATTTTTATGAAAGAAACACAGATCAACTGGGTTTAATCCTGGTTTTTCTAATATCAACAAGTTAGTTTAATTCTAGATTAGTCTTCTCATCTATAAAATAAAGAAAGATTTTGTGGCTTTATTAGGATCCAAAATAGTGCAAATACATAATACAAGTAAAGAATCAGGGGGTAGTCCTGTTTTTATTCACAGAGCTAACAGCTTTGTTTTGCTCCATTTTGGGTCTTTAAATATAATTCTTTAGAATAAATTGGTAGTTAGTTATAATATAATCACAGGGATGTAAAGTACAGCATAAGGAATATAGTTAATAAGATTGTAATATGTATGGTGACAGGTGAGTACTAAAATTATCAGGGGGATCACTTTGTAAATTATATAAATGTCTAACCACTATCCTGTACACCAAAATTAATATAAAATAATAGTGAATGTCAACTGTAATTTAAATATATAAATATAGAGGTTTTCAGACTTCCAGCCAAGATGGAGGTGTAGGTACCTTTGACTCCTTGCACAACAAAGGAAGGACAACAACAAATTAAAAAAAAAAAAACAGAACTGCCAGAAAATAGAACTGTATGGAAGTCTGAAAACGAATGAGTTAAAGAAGAAACATTCATCTAGACTGGTAGAAGGGGCAGAGACAGGCAGTCAGGGCAGAGAGGACATGTGGCAAGGTGGCAGCTGGAGGACTGAGTGGTCCCACCTTTGTGTGTGGATAAACTGGGAGGAAAAGCTGGGGAACAAGACAGACTGTACGATCCAGGGTTACAGCAAGGGAAAAGAAAGCCTCAAAACCTCTGGCTGTAAAAACTTGTGAGGGTTGTGGCAGCAGGTGAAACTCCCAGCCTCATAGAAGAGTTCGTTGGAGAGACCCAGAGGGTCCTAGAAAATTACACAAACCCATCCACCCTAGATTCAGCACCAGAAGGGCCCAATTGGCTTGTGGGAAGCAGGGGAAGTGACTGAAAGCTGGCCAAGAGCCAATCAAGCAGCATTGTTCCCCCTTGGACCCCTGGCCCATATACAGAGTCACAACGCAGCAACCTGGGTTGCTCCACCATGGCCAATACCTAAGGCTATGCCCCCTTCAATGTAACAGGCTTCAGGAGAAAAATAAATATGGCCCAAATGAAAGAACAGAACAAAGCTCCCAAAACAGAACTAAGTGATGAAGAGATAGCCAACCTATCGGATAGAGAGTTCGAAACACTGGTAATCAGGATGCTTACAGAGATGGTTGAGTATGGTCACAGAATAGAGGAAAAAGTGAAGGCTATGCAAAGTGAAATAAAGAAAAATGTATAGGGAACCAACAGTGAAGGGAAGAGAACCAACAGTGAAGGGAAGGAAACTGGGACTCAAATCAATGATTTGGAGCAGGAGGAAGAGATAAACATTCCACCAGAACAAATGAAGAAAACAAGAATTCAAAAAGATTAGGAGAGGCTTAGGAACCTCTGGGACAGCTGTAAATGTTCCAACGTCTGAATCATAGGGGTACCAGAAGGAGAAGAGGAAGAGCAAGGAATTGAAAACTTATTTGAAAAAATAATGAAGGAGAATTTCCCTAATCTGGCCAAGGAAATAGACTCCCAGGAGATCCAGGAAGCTCAGAGAATCTCAAAGAAGTTAGGCTGAAGGAAGCACACACCAAAGCACAACATAATTACATTACCCAAGATTAAAGATAAGGAGAGAATCTTAAAAGCAGCAAGAGAAAAGGAGACAGTTACCTATAAAGGAGTTCCCATAAGACTATCAGCTGATTTCTCAAACCTTGCAGGCAAGAAGGGTTTGGAAAGAAGTATTCAAAGTTGTGAAAGCCAAGGACCTACATCCATGATTTCTCTATCCAGCAAAGCTATCATTTAGAATGGAAGGCCAAATAAAGTGCTTTCTAGGTAAGACAAAGTTAAAGGAGTTCATTATCACCAAGCTCTTATTATATGAACCGGTAAAGGGACTTATCTAAGAAAAAGAAGATCAAAAACTATGAACAGTAAAATAACCACAAAGTCACAACTAGCAACAACTGAACCTAAAAAAACAAAAATGAAAACAAACTAAGCAAACAATTAGAACTGGAACAGAGTCACAGAAATGGAGATAAGAGGCGGGGGAGAGGGAGAATGGGAGAAAAGGTACAGGGAATAATAAGCATAAATAGTAGGTACAAAATAGACAGGGGGAGGTTAAGAATAGTATAGGAAATGAAGAAGCCAAAGAACTTATATGTACAACCCATGGACATGAACTGAGCGGGGGGGAGGGGAATGCTAGTGGGAAGGGGAGTACAAGGTGGAGGGAATAAAGGAGAGAAAAAAATGGGACAACTGTAATAGCATAATCAATAAAACATATATGTAAATAAATAAATATATAAATATAATTTTTCAGATCTGCCCATTGATAGTAAAGTATATTTTCATATTTCTCCAATTATTTTCAAGGTTACTGATATATTTTTCTTTATAAGCTTATGAAAATCATTGTTCCTGGATTTGCAAAATAAATTAGTAAATTGATCTCTAAATGCACAACCATTGAGAATGTAAATCTACTAGTTTTCTGTTGGGAACCATCCCATCTGGTTTCAGGGACTATAGCCTCACTGACAGGTGAGAAGGCCCCAAGGCTGGAGCTGAGCAAGGAGGCCTTGGGAAAATAGGCCACTGAAGAGAAAAAACCTGTCCCCCTGGAAGGGGTGTAGCCCCTGCCTCCCTTGTACCACTCTGCTTTGCCCCGGAGGGTGGCTGGTTAGTCAATGACAGTTAAGACCCCTCCATGGCAGGGGCAACCTAGGACAGGCAGAGTCTCATGGGGTCTGTCAGGGAAGGACTTGGGGGACATGGAGAAGGGGCAAAAGACACTCATCCCTAGGCTTTGTCATGGCCAGAGTCCTCATCCTATCTGAAAAAAGTCTCCTTATCTCTTGGCTGCTCTGCCCGCAGTCTGACCTGTTCAGTGAAACAATACTAAAGGCAGGTACAACCCTAAACTGGACCTGGCGGTTCCTGGGGACAATTAGGTCTGGAAAAGAAATGCAGTAAATCCTATGAAACTTACTTTTCTAAGAATGCCCTTGAGTTAATGAGTACTGAT